GATAGATAGATAGATAGATAGATAGATAGATAGATAGATAGATAGATAGATAGATAGATAGATAGATAGATAGATAGATAGATAGATAGATAGATTCTACCTAAAATAAGATTGTATTACTGGGCATCCCAGCTCAGAACAGTAGTAGAGATGAAGAGATTGGTTCTGTTAAACAGAACTCCAGGAATATTAATATCTACAGTGCAATGTCTTAGTCAACAGTCTCAGAGGAAAATTAACGTAATACACAGGTTAAACAAACACTGCAGGTATGGAATGCAGTGCATGCAATTAAAGGGGAAAGTAGCAGGTCATGGACCATGCCTACTGTTCACTAGGAAATATCAAGTGTCCCCCCTCTGTACTTGTTATTGTTAATAGAAGATAGGCCAAAAGTTAAGAATAAACCAATTATTTGATGGAAACGTGTTCACATTATCTACTCCAGGAAAAAATAATTGGCTTACTCCTAGGTGACTTATGTATAGACATCTAAAAATTAGACATCACATCACAAAACACACTGACTGTGGCGTTCTGAAAAAGGATCCAACCAATATCGAATTATGATTTCATCTACGTATTCCAACAATAAAACATAGATTTTTAAAAAGTGAGTGACAGAGATATCAAAAAATGCCAGATATATTATACAGCTTTAATTACTTTAACTTATAAGAAGATGGACACTTATCATTGTTGTCTACCTTAATTATGATTACGATCCATTCCGAACTTTTTGGGGATAAAAGCCTTGTTCTATCTACAGTTCATTTATCTGTTTGTAGCTAAACTATATTTCAAATGAAGCCAACCCTGAAAGTCAGTCGGTGCCTTTTCCTCTTGTTTAGTTTTGTTTAATACTACCTGTAAGTTGTGCTATTGGCAATAAAGTTCCAAATGTACTTTGTGAGTAGAAAGACAAACAATAATAGATCAGACTAACTGAAAATATGGTTAAAAGCCAAAGTTTACAATGTTGGAACACAACACCAAGATGTCATCTAAACAATTTATGCATCACTGTTGTAATTTTAATACATGTGTGTCAGCTTATTGGCAAGTGGAAACATTTGTAAAATTGTCTTCAAGACTCAGGCAATCAAGACAACAACAACAACAACAGATCTCATAAACTTTCCAGTCTTCATACCAGTGGTGAGGAAGTCCAAAAGCAAATAAAAAGAGCGCATGTAATTTTTCTTTTCCTCCTTTCACTGGTCTGTGCAGACAAGCAGGTATGTGAGTAGTTCCCAACATGCTCCACTGATTTGTTTAGCTTGATCAAATCCACAGCATCACCCCCGCCATTGTGTTCTACCAAGAGGCTCACATTTCTAAAAGACAGTACATCTTAACAGTCATTTAAAGGTATTCATAGCTAGTTAACTTAAAATACAAAGGTTATAAAGACAATAAAAAAGATTACAAGGACATTTTCTGCAAGTGATTCAACCTTCAAAAGCAAACCATGCTACCACATGAGTATCAAATAAAGGAAACAAAGGTTTAATGTAATTCAATCCAATTTAAAACATCTACACTAACACTTTTTTTTTTTTTACCAATCAGGAAGTTTAAGAAAGGTTCAAGGCTCTAGGGTACATCATTGTACTGCTTTTCCATCTGCAGTGTTCCCCTTTTTATAAGAAAGAGAAGTTAATTTTCTCTTAATAAGTAGTTCACTTCCAGTGCTCCTTCCTTCCTCTCTTCAATCACTTTGTCTCGTTCCTGCAGCTCCTGCAAAGAAAATCTCTTCACTATGTGGGGGTGTCCTCCATGTGAGGCAACCAGTTTACTGATCCCAGACAGCAAATCTTTCACCTGAGGATAGCTCAAAGCATTCTGGGATTTTATAATGTTTAGCTCATAATAACGGCTCCCGCACTTCCGGACAAGATCCTGCAGGGCTGAATGAGCACCAGCAACATAGTTGTTGATTTTCTGAGGCCTGCACTTGTTGTTGTCGAATTGAACGAACAACACGATGGCATGCTCTGCGAATTCTCGTCCAAAGATCTTCTGGAGGTGTCTGAACATCTCGCACTCTCCCTGGGTGAAGCGTCCCACCTGGAGCACCAGCAGGAAAACATGGGGCCCAGGTACGGCCAGAGCCAGGCAGTCCTTCACCAGCTCTACATTCTCCACCCCGTCTTCGTCCCACAGCTCAGGGGTGTCGACGAGGATGAGCTTCCTCCCTGCTGCGTATACCTCCTTTCTCTCGCAAAACACGGTCGGTAGGGCCGGTTCATGAGTGGATCCGTTAATTGAGTACTGGCTACCTGCTCTCTCTAGGATTACATTCAGAGCAGAAGACTTACCGCTGCCACTGAGACCAAGAAAGATCACAGAGATCTTATTCTTTTCATCCTCTGAAAGCCAAAAATGAAATGGAAAATGACTGTTAGAAAACACCTACAGAAAATTAGACCATATAACTCTTGTGAAAATGTTGAAAATATGATTACACACTAGCTACAGCCCCAATATTATAATATCTATAACTTGTGGAGGGCCATTTCCCCTGTTGGGGTCTATATCATGTTCTTCTGGTTTTACATGTGTCAAACTGAATTTTTAACACTAAAGATTATAACAATATCCATATAAAAATGTAACTCTATCACCCCCTAGGGGCAATTAACATCACTTTTACCTCTTCCAGTAGATGCTGGACGATGTATTCACCACTCTTTGGTGTACAGGGAAGTTATAGGTCTGTATTTTTATTCATCTTGACAACTTTAGTTTTAAAACACCAGAACAAATGGAAATAGCTCTTACCATCAGGGGCACTGATCTGAAGTTGCAACATGGCTCTGTGGCTTCTTACAGCCTCCTCAAGGTTCTCTCTTTTTGCCTCATACTGCTTTTGTTCAGCTCCCTCCTTCTTTCTTTCCTCATCGTGCTTTGCGTTCAGCTCCTCCAGCTCCTTGGCTCTTCTCTGCTCCTGTTGTTGAAGTAGCTGCATGAAAGCTTGCTCCTTCTCTTCTGCCTCGCGTACTTTCATTTTCAGCATGTTCATGGCCGAGTCTTCTGTCCTACGTTTCATGGATTCACTTAGCATGCTTTCAGTGTAACCTGTGACGCCATTTTCAGTCATCAGGTAGTCAACCATCTCGAGCAGGGTGTGCAGCCCGCCACCCGGAGCAGAGGACCTAACTCGGCAGTACCTGCCATCACATACATTTATCAAATCTAGCAGGGCGTCATCTAATGTGTCAACAACCTTTCCATCTTCCACAGAGAGGACAATTAAGTATTTTAAAGCCTCAGCTCCAAAGTGGGCCTGAAGGATCCCTGTCAGTCTTTGTTCTCTCATTGTGTAACAGCCACCTTGGATCAGCAACAGAAATGTTCTGATTTCCTCTGTGCAAGACTTGAAACAGCTATCGATTGTCTCACAGATGCTCTCCTCTGTCATGTTTTCCTTTAACTCTGCATAGTGCAAGCTGATCGAACGATCCTCCACAGTCAAATCACAGACTTGGTTTGATCCCACAGATCTAAAACTTAACTTGTGACTTTCATCCTCAGAGCTATCCTGAGGCAGAGATTTCAGAGCAGACCATTCTTCCATCATTGATATGACCACCATCATCTGTCTTATGTCTGTTACATTTTCTGTCAAACAAAACAATAACAACTTTTCAGTACACAAACCAACACATCCTTAGGATCTAACGTTTAAAATAATTTGCAACTATTTAGTCAATGATTTGACCTCATAGTAAAAGAAAAAATACGATTACTCACTCCTAGCCATGTCTTTTGCAGGTGCTCCAGCAAGTCTGCACTAAGATTCTTGTCAGCTCAAGATAACACCTGAAACTAGACACTCAGGCTCTGAAACAAGCATTATAAAGGAAAAAGGTAAAACAAGTAAAAGGTAAAACTGGATGCTTCTGGATTACAACATGTGGCACTACAAGTTCAACTGTCAAGGAAGTGCATTCCACCGTTCACGCCTGGATGAACATGTATCTTCCTTGTGCTTCACTTTAGGTTTGAGAATACAAAAGAAAAAAAAGCATTACTTCAAATAATTTTGGTGCACAAAGCAGTTTTCCATGCTAAACTTTAAAATTCAGTAAAGACTTGATCTTAACACAACAGGCCTAAGATAACGTGCTTCCGCCTAAGATGGAAGCGCTCATAATGTCAGTGTCTGCACAAGGTGAACATTTTAAATGGAACCATTGTGGGAATTTGCAAACACATAATCAGCTTGCCTGATCCGGTTTCCCTTTCCTACTTTAATCATTTACTGCCCTCTGCACCATGGAGCCAGTCTGCAAGACATCCGGTAATTGTTTTTGTTTTTTTTAATCTGGATAACAGCTGAATCAGCCACACTGCAGACCGTCAAGAAACATAAGTTTACTTTGGAGTCATGGCATGCCAAATATACTGTGGTTCAACAGCATGTGAACACTTCATCTCCGATGAATTACTACTAATAAAAATTCCAAGGAAGAAAATCCCCAAAAAACCATTAAATGAGCAGTAATAACACATAGCTATATTATAACACGCCACGTTAGAATAAAGACACACTACAGTATGCAGCTGTTTTCCCCCGTACGTGATCGCAGAAGGATTGCAGCATCACTAGAAGCTGCGTGAAACTGCCAGCTGCTGTCAAAACGGCCCAAAACAAGACCGTACTAAGACGTGACAACGGGGGCATCGTCTGTTAAAACCCGAAAGATTTATTTCTTATAATGGATTGGTGTGTCCGACACGACGCGAAATACTATAAAACTGTGTCGGGAGTAAATCAAATCATAATCTTATATTGTAAAGTTTGCCCGGAAGTACTTATATGCTGGTTTAGTAACCCCCCCAATTATTGAAATCGTTCGCTCCGTTGCTATGCTATCTTCTGTAGACACTCTCCAGGGTGATGGAGAAGAAAATGTAGTTACACGGCCCGATACGGAAAAATACGCAACGCTTTGTCGGTTTTGTGTGAACGGTGACAACAATTACAATGTCAAGTATAAGGAAAGTTAACGGGAAATTCTCTGGAATCAACCCAGCCGTGAGGTGACGTTTGAATCGAGTTGTGTTTTGTTAGAAAATGCTTCACCGTAGCTGCCATGCTAACGTAGCTAACGTTAGACAGAACCACTCTCCATTATTAGTCGACGTATCAACGCCATTTATCGTTATTAATTTTGACTGAATAGCGTATAGTAATGCCCACATTATCAACGTTTCAAACCAGCTGAAGTTTATATTTTTTATTAATAAAAACATCTGGTCAAGCTGCATAATAGATTTGCTATCCCCTGCCGGGGATTTCTCATTCAATGCATCCCAGTAGAGGCAGTTTATGTTGTTACAATTTTAACAGCGACGTAAACGAAGAATTCTAAAATTATCTAAGTGAATCCTATTAAATAAGTTAATGCTTGATACTATTGAGTGTTTTATTAGGTGAACCTGTGTTACAACTATATTATTTCTAGAGGTAGGACTCACCAGACACCCCACAACACGATATTATTACAATACTACTCACGATAGCATATTGTGGCGATTTTTAACGTTTTGCGATATGCTGAATATTGCAATAACGTATATTGTAATTTATCACTTTGTTTTTATCTTATTTTATTTTTTATTTTTGCCACAAAATGAGATTATCAAGCATACTGTCAGGAAAGCCACACAACAGTCAGTCTGATATCAGTCTGCAATTAAATGGGCTCAAATTGCCAATTACATGCAACTTCATTAGCTTAAATTTGGCATAACAAAAGCTCTATCTTTCCAAAAGGAAGAATTACTTTTCTATCTAAAATGCATCATCAATAATCATGAAAGCCATGACTTTGTACTTATTTATGGGTTGTTGTTTTTTATCATGCTTTTCAGTTGCTGTCGTCTGCGTCAAGTTCAGGCTCTGCTCTGTGGAAGTGGCACTGCCATTCCTGATGGCATCCTGTGCTCTCTCGGTATGTTAAGTCAGAAACTTTGATGTGTCAGTTGTTAAGGCTAAAACAAAGTTTTTCTTAAGCAGAATAGAAAGTGGATTGAATATTTTCTGTGGACACTCCAAAGCCATAAACTTTATTTATTGTATTTTTCTCTATTTTAGGAATTGATAGCAGATATAATGAGGGGTGCACTGAGCTGGCAAAATACTTGTTCTATGGACTATATGAACAAAACCAGGTGAATCTGGAGCATGGCCTTGAGGAATTTCCTGAAGAAATGCTGGATGGTGAGTGTGGGTCTCCATATGCATGTCATATTTTTGTGCATGCTTTAGTTTTTATCAGCGTTGACACATCACTTGTCCTTGTGTCAGATGTAATCCTGCTGATTAAGGTGGACTGTGTTCACCTGTACTGCAACCCACTGAACTACAGTTACCTGTTGCCCTATGTGTCCCACTGGAGAAACCTACACCTGTACTGCATGACAGAAACAGAGGTAAAAATTAAATAGATAAATAAGAAGAAGAAGGAGAAAAAAAACTATACCTCTCACTTTATTACAGTTCCTGTTTAGTCGATTAATTAAGAAGTACTTAGGTTTAACAGGTTGCATGTTTAACTCATTGACTGCACAATGATAGCACATTTATTGTCATCAATGACATAAAGAGGATTTTCCTTTAAAATGTGTTTCTTTGCAGCAGTGTTTGTAATTCTGTTATTCTATTCTAAAGCTTACATTTACTGTCGTTTTTTCCTTCCACTTGCAGTACGAAGATGAAGAAGCAGCAGAAGAATTTAAAATCTCCAGTTTTGTTGCAATGGTGCAGGACTGTTATCACATTGGAGTACCTTACAGCTCGCAAGGTACATGTTTTTACATTTTAATTTCCCCATCATTTACTACTTGTGTCTTTCAAAGAAATTAAAATGTCTTCTTAAACTGTAATTCATGTTGTTGTGTTAGTTTTATCTACTTCTGAAATGAGACCTCCCAATTAACAAAACCTAGTTAAACTTAGTTTCTGTTAATTTTAGGACAAATCCAGAAGTTCGATATGTTTATGGTGGAAAAATGGCCTCTGCTTCAAGCTTTTGCTCTGGAAGGCATTGGTGGAGGAAGCTTTTTTACCATGAAATACAAGGTAAAGCCTAACAGCAAAAGAAACTACAATATGTAGAAAGTTCTTAGAATCCTATGGTTCTTTTTGTTTGTTTGTTTGTTTGTTTGTTTGTTTGTTTGTTTGTTTGTTTGATGTATCTCTACTTATGCAGCTAATGGACATGAGTGAGAATCTGTGGCAGGTTTACAACAGACTCGACCCAGTGTCGCTGGATAATCTCCTCACAGAGGTAACAATGAGTTTAATTTTCTGTCAGCTTTACCAAATTTGAAAGTTTCTTGTTACTTTTAGTGGCGAGGCCTACAGTACGTCATCATCTGACGTCTGAAGTTTTTTTAAATTGCCAAACATCCAGTGCCGCTATTAGGAATCATTTTTTTGGACTAGCCATTAATATATAAATCATTATTTGGTAACTACAAGTCATAGTAAGCACAGTACTGTGAAATGGTTTCAATCTGTATTTTGCTAGACTTTCTTGTAATTGCTGACGTGGTCTTCAGCAATCATTCAAAGGTTTTTTCTTGACATTGGCTGCTTTTTCACTTTTTCAGTTCAATTAATAACCACCAATTCAATTTCCAATTGTATCTTTAGCCACTTTTTCACTAACAGCCTATCATGGGAACACATAATTTGTGCTGATTTCCTTAACTGAATCTACAAAAAATATAAAAAAAAAAACAGATTGACAAGCAAAAAAAAATTTTTTTGATCCAACAAAGTGATTCCTACAGCGCTATTAGCCAAAGACGTATTAACTGGGGACATTGTCTCTTACAAAATGCGGATACTGGACAAGTAGAGGACAAAAGAAGAAATGGTAGGTCTAAAAAACTATCTATGGCAAATGAACAGTATTTAAAAGTCATATCAGCAAATACCTGACACAGGACCTGACAGATGAATCCAGTCCTTCAGTTGATCCATCTAGTGTTCACTGAAACCTCATCAGAAATGATCTTGATTGAAGAGTGGCTGTCAAAAACTCATAAAATGTGCAAGACCTAGACTGAAAAACGGTGTCAACAGTTCTTATATGTGATAAGTACAAATGAAATTGTTGGCTAAAATTGTTGCCTATACTTTATGTAGAGCGAGAGATACAACAGTGAGTTTCTACAACTATCTGTAAAAACATCTGGAACCCCTGTCATGGTTTAGCACTGAATGTTAGCCAGTGGTGTTGGGATCTTACCAAAACTGATCATGTTATGAATGCAGAAAAGCACAGGTAGATTTTGATCCGCCATGCATTAACATTTAGAAAGTGTCTAGATGACAGCTTGGTGACAGTTTTATTATTCAGGACGTGAATAATCCTAAGAAAGCATAACTGGGTAGAAAACCACACACTGGAAAATTATCACTCATGTATTGGCCTCCCCAAATTCTGGACCTCAACATTATTGAAGCAGTGGGATCATTTTGGCAGAGAAACAGGACAAAAGTCTTTCCTTCAAGAATCCTGAGGACTATTGCTGAAGATTACTTTAGCATATTATGCTGTTTTGAATAATAAAGCTGGTCATACCAAATATTGACTTTCAAGCTCATTAGAATTCTAGAAACTATGTTTTATTAAATCCCTGCACCTATTTCCCATTTTCCAAGAAAAACAGAGGAATGAGGGACTCCACGGTACTGTATGTAAAGAGATATGTAGTATTACCTGAGTGCTGTTGGTTTTGTTTTAGGATCTGGTCAACTTTGAGAAACAGTGGAATGGCTTCTTCTCAGGCATGGACCTGGAAAGTCATCTTTCTATCTTGGAGCTCTCTGAAGCACAAGCAGGGGAGGTACATTTATACCTTCATATCCTCACAAAACTAGAATAACTGCTGTGTGATATTTGGAGTAATTTAAGTTGTTCTGATTTTTTTCTGGATATACTTTTTCCAAAAAAGAGACATCAACTGCTTTTTTTACACAGTGAAAAGATAAATAATATTAAATATTATTTAATATTGTCATAATAATTAGTCATAATATTGAATGACTAATCAGACTTTGTTGCCAGTTCTGTTGCAAAGAGTAGCAGCTGAAAAAAGATTGTCTGCACAAATGTTATGCAGTTTATAACAAATGCAAAGAGTATTTGCAGACAGCAGGGTTTTTTTATCAGTCTAACAGAAGTAGAGTGTACCTGTATGAGCATAAAGTGTATTCTCAACAATCTGCAGGCATTCCGTTCCTATTACCTTCATGGACTGATCTCAAGAAAAATCACAGATAAAAGGTATTCTTTGTATTCACTCGTGTGTAAATATTGAAATGATGTTTATCTGTGGTCTTGTTGGCGTGGAATGAAATAAACACACACCTTTGCTCAGTGAAACATTTCTTTATTTCAGTAAATGCCAGCAGCCCTATGTGTTGTTTGGGAAACACTCTGCCTTAGAAGATCTGGAGAACTATTTATTCAACTTTCCCTCAGAGAGTCATCAGGTCCGCAACACAGGGCCTCAAGGTTCTGCAGCCAGACACATGGTGAGGAACAGCAGCATAGTGAAGGATAATAAATAACTTCTCTGGGGTAGAGCAGAGAGCAAGTACGAAGCAGACATTTAAATCATCAATAAATAATATAACCCTACATCTACACCCATTACTATAAAACATTTGGTAATGACTGGACAAATGCCAAAGTGATTATTAGGTTCAAAGACCTCTGTTAAGACTCCACTATTTCAAATGGAGGGGATTTTTTTCCACTTCTAATGAATGTGCTATAAAACAAATTACTCAATTAAAAGAGAAAAAATTAGCTGCAGCACCATCTACTGGGCAGCATTTTGATAAGTCATCTGGAGCACTAAGTCTGTTAATATGTCCTCCTGTAAATAAGACATGTAGGTCAGTTTGCAAATTCTGGGTCTCAACATTGTTACTTGTGTTGTTTGTAAAGTGGGAACGTTCCGCTGTTCATGTCATTCATACAAAACACCTTTTACCCCATTAGATTCTCCAGTGTGTGGCTCCCAAAGGACCTCTAGCCTGCGCTCGGACCTATTTCTTTGGGACTACCCACAACCCATATCTTGGTGAAGTTTATTGTGTGACTTTACTTGTGTCTATTCATCTGTTGCATATTTAGAACATCTTATATTTACTTTGTTGTCCTTAGTACTTCAGAGACTGCAATATATGATATATTAACCCATAGTTAAAGCAGTAATAACATTTTCCCCTTGTATTTTTCACAGGAAATCAGAACACAGAGCAAAAGAAGACAGACGTCTTGTAAGTGTTTAATTTTTAATCTTTCATTTCCCTTTAAGCTGTTGGGTGTCAAACGTTTGAGAATATCTAACGAAAACTTTTCTTTTTCTTCAGAGTTTTGTCACAGATTTATTCAGCTGCCATTCAAGCAGTTCTGTCGGGAATCAAATGCTACTCCTGTACCACCAGCGCTACCAAGGTTAGAGAAAAAGTACACAGATTTTAGCATTAGCTTTACAGCATGTACTCTAGCATATACAGTTGTTCACTGTGTAATCCTTTGTAGGCTAAGGATGTGGCTGAGAACACCTTTCTGATGTCATTGGACTCGATGAATTTAAGCCAGTATCGCAGTTTTCTCAGGTAGCAATTGATTACTTTTTTTTTCAATCATCAACTGTGTCAGACCTTGATCAAAGGTTTAAAGTATATGTTATAACCCTTTGCTCTTGTGGTTGCTCTCTACAGGTCCAAATGTGAATTCACCATTCAAGCAGTGAATAAGCAAGGAATGTGGGTGTTATCTGCACGTTCTCAAATTTTCTTGTGGCTTAATATACAAAGATTTGTAGATTTACAGAAATACAAACAAAAGGACAAAACATGAGGAAAATAATAATCAGTAAATAATTTAACATATTTAGTAACTAATAGTCAGCTCTTTACTTCCTGTTTATGTTCTGTCCTAACATAAATCCTTCTTTTGCCAAATTATGCACATACGTATACATGCACATGTACACACATATAGGTTAAGTTGTGGGTGGGAACACCCAATAAAAGCCCTTCTTCCTCATTGTACCTTGCTTTTGGACTTTGCTTCAGTTCATCACTCAGTCTGTTCCACAGCTTTACTCCAAATACAGAGATGCAAAAAAACCCCACAAAAATTATTTGAATTTAACTCCCCCTCAAATTGTGTTCTCCATCTCCTTTAAATAACAGTTTTAGAATATTATCAGGAAGTAGGTCAGTGTTATGGATTATCGTTACAGCCCTTTTTTTGCAATATAGATCACGATGATAGTGAACATTTTGAAGTATTGCCCTGAACCTCTGTTTAAGCATTCAAATATGGGGAAGTCAGTGAACAGTGTTTTCATTGTGTTATCTGAAAACTATATCCCAAATTGATGCTTTCTTAAAACTTTTTTTCTTATTTGTTTTCAGGATAATTCCTCTCACTAATGAAGACAGCCGCTACGTAATAAAAACAGTAAGTTAGAGAAGCACATTATAACTTGTTTGATCAAAGGTTTTTGATAAAATTATTTGTGTACACAATGTTCTACATTTGCAATAATTCTATGTTCCTTAAGGCTTCCCTGATTGTCCATGACATCCCAGACCTGCAGTGGGACAGGGGGGAACTGGGATCTGTAGTCTTCTCTGAATCCTTCTTGGAGTCCAGTATCAACATTCAACAGAGAGGTACAGTACAGATTAGATTTGAATGGATTGCTGATTCAATCTGCAAAGGAAGTTTGATATACATTATTAACATTACAAATCCACTGCAAACATAAAAAGCTGAAAGTCATCTACAGTCATCACAGTAGTACAAAGATATCTTATTTCCCGTGCCATGGGTTGTGTTTGTTGTACATCTTGTGTTTGTCATTCTTTGGCTTGTTTTTTGTTTCCCCACGTTAAACATGTCTGGTTCTTCTCCTGTAGATGGCACTGTGTCCTCAGACAGCTGCTACACCATCTTGACTGCAACAGTGCCTCGCTACGCCTGCTGGCTGGTATGTGTGGTACTGAATGTAGAAATCAGAACCAATATTTGAAGTAATCTGACAGACCTATGCTGAATCTGTGATATAAACATAGCATTTTCTTTGACTTTTGGTTTTTTATTGTCATTTTGTTTTCAGATGGAATCTGATGTCAAGCAGTCTGAACAAGCTCAGCAGCTCACTAAGGTAGGTTCCAAAGCCTCTGCTCATACCACTACAGGTTGCTTGTCTATGTCCTTCATGTACAACCTGATGATCTACATTATTTGTTTTAAACAGGATGACGATGGTACTTGTTTGGGAAAAGTTCTGACTGCAGCAGATGCTGCATATGTGTTGTCCAGCAGCCACCTCTCAGCTCCTGAAGAAGGTGAGCATTGTTGAAAAACCTGGGAGGAATTTAGCATTTTCTATTTTGATTTTCCTGCAATCATTCAAAATGTGTTTTATTCAAATTTTGATTTCAGGAAAGATCATTTTCTTTTCTGAGGGACTGTTTATCCATTCTCAATATGGAAGCATCACTATTTCCAAGGATCACATCAACAAAGTCAAGTTTTACAATCCGGTATGCATAAAACTACTCGTTTTATCATATGAGAGCTACATTTTTAGCTCTCATATGGTAGTTCATCTTTACACACCTATATATTTCTGTGCAACATCTGTTTAACAGTTAAAATTCAGAGTTTCGGTACCTTCCATGTAAAAGTATGATAAAACATATTATATTGGATTTCTCATTCCTACTTCTTGTGTTTTGTGTGTCGTTTTATCACCAGGACTCCAGCACTGTGGCTTCTCTGTTTGTAGAGTATGAGGACAGCTTGCTCCCCCACCTTCCATTCCCTCTCCACAGCTCTGATAGGTGTCTGGTCTTTGCTCTACTTCCAAGGTCTAAGAGCCAGAGGGCCTTCTACTCTAAGGTGAGAGGGGTAAAATCTCATTAGCAAGTTTTTCCATTAAGTTTGTTTGTTTGTTTTTTCTGGTGAATTTATCATTTTAATTAATTAATTATTAAGAATATCCAATTAACACTTCTCTTGTCAGCACAAGAATGTCATTATTTATTTGTCTACTATATACTAAAATGTGTTTTAGCCCCCTTTCTCTTTATATTATTCCCATTAAAGCCACAGTTGTACTTGTATAAACCTGTTATCTTATTTTTGTAGGTTTTGTCTGTGTGGAAAAGCTCTGGACTCGCTCTGCAATTCTTGGACCAAGACAACCTGACGTGGAACCAGAAAAATATGTAAGCAAACAGTGCTTGCTTTGCCAGTTTCAGCTATTGTGAAGTATGATCATTTGAGTAGGTAGACAGATAAGTAGATTTGTTTCAGGGTAGACATTCTGTTTTCCTCTTTCAGGCACACCAAGCTGCAGAAGCTGCACGACAGTCAGGAGCCACCAATGGCCAAACGCAGAGGCAGCCTGAAGACTTCATACTGTCAGCTGCCAGGACAGGAAATGTTAGTACACACGTAGCAACAGAGTGCTCCAGAACTGGATCAAACAAGTAGTAAAACCTGATGCTAGGTGTTGCTTAATCATGAGTATGCACTCCCAAAATAGCTTTTAAGCCTGTGTTGCACTGTTTCAATCAGTGTTGACCATCTGCACTTCTTAGGTCTGTTATGCTTACACAGAGTATATATGATCAAAGAGCCAAAATAAGAAATGCATTCTTTTCCCCCAGTCTGCATAGCTAGAGCCAAAACATGCATAAAGCACTTCTTTTGCATTGTTTTGTTTGTTAGCCAGTATAATTAAAACTCCAGCTGCTTCAAAACTAGAACTGCCAGAATCCCAAAGTCCTCAAAACCACCAGGAGGCGTCATTTTGACCTCGTCCTGCCACAACAGCATTGATGGCAAATAATTAACTTCTTGAAGAAGTTAAGTTGTTAATTATCATCTAATTTCTCAAACTTTAAGTATTAAAGAAGGTTTTTATTTGTTTTATAATCTATTTAGATTGTTTCATTACAGGTTGTAAAGTTAAAATTCAAATTAGAGTAAACTAATAAACATAAAAATAAACTAAGGAACTGAAACTGCTGGATTTGGCTTTTCTGCTCTGGATTTCACTCTTTACTTGGACTCTGCTCAGCTCAGTTACAGTTCCCTTGCTCTTCAGAACAGCCAGCAAACCCACCCGGGCACTCAACTTTTACCTAACTACATTCTACTATATATTAATTTACCGATCACATCGAGCAAGCTTTTGCTCGTGTTATAGCAGCTTTCATATTAAAATGGGGGTAAACAGTCGTGTTGCTAGCCAACTCAGTGTGCTGCAGTAGTGGTTTTGGATTAATTTCTATGGGGTCAAAGTAATGTCCTCTGCAGTTCTAGTGATCATATAGTTTTTTACATTTTGAGCCCACAAATCCCAAAATGTTTTAGTTGTTGAATAGAAATGTAACAGAGTTACATGATTTTTAAAATGCCAAGGGTTCAAAATGACTCCATTCGCAGTTCTAGTGTTAAGCATTTGCACCCAAAATAAGCGTCCTGTGTGTTGTTCCATAATACTCACTGTCCATAGTGTTATTTTGTATTATCAGTGTAATTTCAATTGCTGTTTTCTTTAGACAGTAATGGCATGTAAACACAATACAGTAAATGCAATCATAGGTTTGTCTAGGCATGTCGGTCTGTGTCAACCACATTTCTGTTCACTGATTCCTGTATTCTGGCCTGTACCAGGTTTCTTCAGCATTTTGCTCTTAGTAGCATTGGTCAAGAGCCCATTATGTATGACCACCTGGGGATGCTCTTTCCCTCTGCAGAGCTTAGGAATATACCCCCTTGTCAGGGAGACAAGGTGAGTATGTTGTCTTAGGATGCAGTGAATCCTTCTCTCTCTCTCTCTCTCTCTCTCTCCCACTCTCTCTCTCTCTCTCTCTCTCTCTCTCTCTCTCTCTCTCTCTCTTTTTAAAGATTGTAGACATAGTAAATCATTTTCTGATTGCTTTCTTATCTAGCACCTAGTTTAATTATAATAAAGCTGATTTAATGAATATCTGATGTGGGCTTTTTTAATGTGTGAAAAGGTTGTCATCACCATCATCACTGGACTGCCAGGAAGCCATAAGAAGATACTTTGCAACTTCTCAGTCCAGCTAAACCACAAATGTGAAAGGTACAACATTTCTCAAATAACATAGTAAATACCAGACTTATAACACAACCAAATATACACAAGTTTTTCAATCATTACACTCACAGGTGGGTGGTTTATGAGCCTGCTCCGGAAAGTTTCTCAGCTTCTCATCTCCAAAAGTATTTGTCCAGCTTCTTGGAGAGCCAAAGAGGTACAAGAGGCAAACCCCGTCTGTTGGTGCTCACACCGGGGTAAGACTAATTTGTGCTTTAGACCTGAAGAAGACCAGTCATAAGACTTGTACCTTTTTAATATTAAAGATGTATTCATCTAATATAAAAGAGCTTAGAATATGAAACTATTAAAACATGCAGGATGTTGAGTATAGAATAGATCAATATTGTTTACATTTGTGAATGTTCCTACTTACAGATATACAGATGTTCTAGATGTGGTCCAGGCTGTGCTCTTCCATCCTGACCCAGTTGTTCAGGCATGCTTCACAATTGGTGCAGTTACTGCCTGTGTGAACCCTCTCACCTCCTTTATCGAGCACAGGTACGATTTGAGATATTTCTCTCTGCTATTTTTAAGATATAAAACAATTTTGGATTATAGTAACTAGTGGTAAGTAAATCACCATGACTCTGAAAGTGCAGTCAGCTCAGTTTCACAGCAGTTAAAGTCAATTCATTGATCCAGGTTAACGATGAAAAATTGTATATTACTTTTGTTGTATAGTTTGCCATTCACCTCTCTGTGTGCCTAGTTTCCTGAAACACGTGTGTCCACCATAGATTTTTCTAGCACATGAGCAGATGTGCAATAAAGTAATTTGCTACCAACAAAGATTATTTCTGAAATGACACACATTTCAGTTTGTTGTGCAAAGTTTAAGGGTTTCAGTGAGGTCAAACGCACCAGTATTAAGGGTTTCACTTAGGTATATTTTCAAGCAACATATGGACAGGCCAGATAATTACAGACAGGAGATGCTCATAAATTGTTAAAGTGCTGGAGGTTTCCATGAAAAGGTTACATGACACTTTTAGCTATTAAAACTCAAGGCTGGGTCCCTTTTTACAGAGAGGATCAGCTCTACATTTAATCTCACTCTCCTTTTGTTACAGGCTTTAGATGGAGTTTACAGAGCTTCTCACTGTCATAGATTTACTGAGCAGCTCAACACAATATGGCATACTACTCCGGTTGATAGGCTGTTTTTCCAAAGCAGGCCAAGCTTGACCAAGCCCCTGATGCTTTCATACACACAAGGCCAGTCTAAAGGGTGTAGTCTTTGCATGCTTTGAAAACTTGTGCCATCATCTGTCTTCATCAGAACTTTCATTTAAAAAAATCAGTAGACGTTATATAACAAATCCTTTGTTAGTTAAGCTATAGTAACTAGATTCTGGGTATTAAGCTTGACAAATGTTAACTACACATATAAATTCCATGTACTGGTTAGGAATTAAAGTCATTTTTATGCAAAAAAAAACCCATTTTCAGAGGCTGAAAAGTAATTGCACAAATTTTACTGTTTTAAATACCGTAATTGTTTTTCATCATTATATTCATGAAAGTCTTGATTTGTTTTATAGCATGCTTTGGGTCATTATCCATTCACTAGAGACTTAATTCCAAAGGCCCATGTTATAATATTGTCTCCACCATGTTTGACACATGATGTGGTATGTTTCCGGTCATGAGCTGTTTCTCTCCTGCTCCACAGTTTTGTCTTCCCATCATTCTGATACAGGTTAATGCTGGTTTCACCTGTCCAAAGAATTTTTCTGTTAAGGGCTTCTTGAGTGTAACTAGTGGTTTACACCTTTTTATGAATCCACTGTAATTACATTCAGGAAGGCATCTCTGGATCATAGACTTTATCAGTCTGCCTCCTCGTGAGTGTTATTGAGTTGTGAGGTGTTGTGAGGGGTCTGAACCATGTGATGAATTATGTAATCATGGACTTTAGTTGTCTTCTGTTTTCTTTCATGTCTTTTGTTGTTGCTGAGCTGGTCAATGCTTTCGTTCTTTATAAGAATACACCAGATTGTAATTTTGCCATTTTTAAAGTGTTTGTTATGTCTCTTATAGCTTTATTTTTTATTTTAAACCTTATGAGTCTGTCCTCTTGCAAATATCTCTTTGGACCTCATGCTGAGAGTTGCAGTGAACAGTTACCAGCTACAAGTTCAAAACTGAATCAGCTCCAGATATTTTATTTGTTTCATTTGTCATGAATTAACGAGCGATTAGGCCTCTCATGACCATGAAAGTGCCTGTCAGTCAGTTGTGCACCTAAATATGAGTCTATGAAAATCTGGGACTATATATAAAACTTTGGTAAACCCCTTAAAGTAAATCTTAAAGTCTGTACTTCAGTTAGATGTTGTTTGTGTCCACTGTGGAAATGGGCATGAGCAAAATTCTAAAAATTGTCCGTGCTTGTGTCACAAGCTAGGCTTATGAAATATGTCTTGAATTGCATGCATTAATCATGCAGTGATGACCTTTTCAGTTAAACACAGTACCTACTTAGTTCAGGAGTGGAAAATGTGTAATAAGAATTTAGCTAACAATGCAGTTAGCAGTGACTTTTCCAATTGAGGCATCTTCATCAAGCCTCCTGTCCCTGTCTGTTGCCACAGATTGTATGGAGGTCTGTGGACCCCTACTATGGCGCTAATTGGATACGGTTAGCCCAGCTTAGGTCTGACCTGCCTGTCACCCGCTTCAGCATAGCCCTTTAATCCCCCAGATCCACATGTGTGGCCAGCAACCCCCCTCAGAGAAGCTCATCAGTCAGTCATGATCTATTCTTTGTGATGGATGCAGACAGTTCATTACGTCAGGACAGGAAAGATAAATGCCTTTCAAATTGCTGATCCCCAAGCCTGCAGGCTCCCAAAGAAGGGTAGTGGTTGTAAGGAGACTTCAGAAAGTGGTGTATAACACAGATCGATATGAAAACTCAGGATACATTGTTACAATGAATTTTAATTAATTAAATTACAGAAAGATGTTCCATTGGTCCATTGCCAGTCAAAGTCCTGATGTCATACATTATGGCCAAGGCCCACAATGTGGAATTAGTCTGTTTATTGCTGCTCAATGCTGGTATGCATTCATTAGTCAGAAATAGAGCTCTTATTAAGGATGATGTGGTGACACAGGACATGGGCAAAATAAAGAGGGCAGAAAAGTGAATACATTTAAATACACCTCTTGTGTGTTGTTTAGTATGGAACCTAGAGTGCAGGAGTGAGCGTCTCAGTCAAAAATAACATTTGCATTAGGTAGTTTCTAGAATATGTTTTAATATTTAACTTTAGTTCTCCTCTCTCAGTTCTTCTTGTCATTTTGTTTTTTAGGTTTGCTTTTCCTAAGCTGTTGGAGCAGCTCAGCCAAGGTTAGTCTAGTCTGTTTCACTGCACTTTCATTCACCTGTCCAGCAGCACAGTATGTTTAATGCTGAGGAAGGACCATGTCGATAGATAGTTAGAATTTTCTTTTGTTTGCAGCAAAGTTAGACTCTTCTTTATCGGCCTGTAGCTGCATTATAAATTGTTACAGACCATTTATCAATTAACCAAAGTTTTGTATTGTTTGTACTAGAAAGTGTTGACTTATGAAATATGATGCTCTTTACCTTAGAGTTGCTGACATGTAAGATGCTTTATAATAAATATGGAGGTAAAAACTTTTAGTTCTTAAGCACCATTTATATAAAACGATATGCTCGTTGTGCATCACTTTCTAGCTGACACATCACCACTTAATGGACATAAAAGGCTCTTGTTGCCTAGGTGACAGGTAGTTTTTCCTTCCCAGTGTCACCAAGTGCTTGCTCATAGGGGGTCTTTTGATTGTTGGGGTTTTCTCTGTTTTTTGTAGTATCTTTTCTTTACAACCTAAAGCACCTTCAGATGAATGCTGTTGTGATTTGGCACTATATAAATAAAACAATTTCATTTAATTAAAGTGTTTTGTAAATACAACTCAGTGATGGAGGTAAAAATAGCAACAATACTAATACAGATTATTTTGTGACATAGTAAGTTTTAAATAATGTTTTTTAGAGATGTTGTTACATACAGTAGGAGCTATAAAAACGTTTCACACCTCATTGGTGCAAACATTACTGTATGTTTGAGATGGTTTACTTTCCATTTCACATTCTCAAGTGAGAATTTTCACATTTTTGGGTTTACTGTCATCATATTTCCCATCTTTGTTACTGGATCCTAATTTGGGGCAGTGCTGAGGAAAAACATGGAACTGTGAAGGGAAAAAATGTGTTGTTCCCTTTTATATCAGTCAGCTCATGTGAGGTGATCAAAATGCATATTCTGCTTTCAGGCAGAAAAAAAGCAGTGGTATGGACAATAAATTAAATGTAGTGTGAAATACGGTATTTCAGCAGGGACAAAACTGAGGAGATTCTGTATTTTTTGGGAAAGTGATCCATTTTCTTGTGGAATTTTCATTCTTTTTTTGTGCCTTGTTGTATGTCAGGTATTGTGAGTACAGTGGTGTTCACTGGGCTGACAGCAGAGAAGAAGCACCCTCTCATGCAGCATGTTCAGCAGTTGGTACGCTCTGCCAACCCCACTGCTGCCTTCATACTGGCAGAGAGAGGAGCTGTCACCAGGTAGGCGCCCACAGAATCATGATCAATGCTGCAAACAGTCATTTCACTGCTTTTATCTTTGCCTAAAATATTCACTCTAGGCTACATTTTATTCCACTCTCTGAGTCTATGTTTAAATCTTCTGGGTCAGAGCACGGCTCACTTAACTCCTGGATGTGTAATGAACACTCCCCAATGCATTCTATACTTAATATTTTATCATTGTGATTGACAGTCTGCTACAGACCAAAGTACTCCTTTGTCACATTTGGTGTTCAAAATGCAAACACTTACAGACAGATTACTGGTACAGTAGAATATTAGATGTTAAATATATATATTTTTATTATTATTTTTCTCCCTAATTAGGGATGAAGATATGAATCTGATATTGTCTGAGAGCAGCTTCAATGAGCCACAGATGCTGAGAGCCCGTTACGTCCTCTACCCTGGATGGTAAGGCACCCATATGTCCTCCTGTGTCAACACGCAACCTCTTGGCTGCTGAATGACAGATTGATTCCTGCTTCGGCTTTCCTCAGTCCTGCCTCCCTGCAGTTTAATTGCTGCTCAGCTACAGTGGTGTGTGTATCGGCAGCTGATTGGCATGAAGCCCCTCAGGGCATCTCGTGTTCTATCACCAGTTGCCTCCTGGCAGCACAGTAACAAGCTGTTGGCCATGCAGTTGCCATGTACACAGAGGGGTCTCTTTTCCTTTGGACTATGTCCAGCCAGTCTTCATGCCTCAATGCTCAGCCTAATATGAACTGCTGCTAAATCCTCCTCTCAGATCATACACAGTATCTGGCCAGAGTGTGGCCCGTTTTAAATTGCTCATCTTCAGCCTTTAATTTGTACAGTTTGTGTATATTGGGGTGTGTTTGGGAATCTTCTTAGATGCCCTCATATCAAGGAGCGAGAAATGTTTGTTTTGTTTATACCTGCTGTTAAAAGAATCTGCATTTTGCATTTTAGCAGCAAATCACATACACTGGCCTCTTCACTGTGAGCAGCTGGTTGAGTAAACAGCTTTCCAGCCAAAGACAAAATGTAGCACAAACATTTGGCTTGGTCTAGATTTAACTTTCACGTGTTCTGTGTTCCAGGTGCAAAGGGCGCTTCTGCTCTGGTTCTGGGACTCTGGTCCTCACCCAGCAGCGCGTGGCTTTTAACCGGCCCCTAGAGAGGCCTCTATTTGTCACCCACTGTAAAGGTGAGATGGAAAGAAGCCCCCTGCCTCGTGACAGACTCTCTAGATATGAGATGGAAGGATTTGGTTGTGATTACACGAGCTGCCTTCCCTCCGAATATGGAGGTGTTGAAGTAATTATCAGCCGTTGCTTTGAAGTCATCTGTACTCCCAAAGGATGGCTTTAGAGTCTTGTCACAAACTTGCTTTCTAGGAAATTTTCACTTTACATAATTTGCTCGACAACTCTCATTGTTTTTCTGCAGCAATCAAGTCATCGCTACGGCCAAGCCCCTTCCAAGGAAATATGTACAATGTTTGGGGAAAAGTCAGATTTTCTGGTAGGATTCACATATTTTTCCCTTTGATTTTACTGTTTATAAAATATATTTGCAATATACTTCTGCTAACTTTTAAAAATTTCAGATCCTACTTTGAAGAACTTGCTTATGAAAAACATGACAAAAAACAAATGTGACTTCTTTCCTTGGGAAATATTTTAATCTACATTTGCATTTCCCAGTTTGGGGAATCATTAGACAAAAGGTTTCTCTCAAGGCAGGAAAGAAGCTCCTGACGGTAGGAATTTTGCTTGGTTGTTGCTCTGGTGTCTGGTGCTTAGAACTCAGCCCATATTCCACTAGTTTGGTTTGCTTCACATAATTTTCTCACTCTTTTTGTTATTTTTTATTTTAAGACGTGTGTAGAGTTGTTGCATGAGGAGAAAGTGCAGGTGCCTGTGAGGAGATGTTCAGCGAGTGTGAATATATTTGTATAGTTGGGAAGATAGAGTATGAAACCAGTGTGGTGTCTGAGACTCCGACTTTCCCTTAATGTATATTTTAGTAGCTGCCTATTGGGTAGTGTATCATTTACATCCATGTAGTTATTTTGTTTGAGTTTTTCGATTTAGCTGATATACATCCAACACATATTGTTGAAGTGGGACGTATTTATCTTGCTTTTATCTGGTTTTGTACACACGGGTTCTGTGAGCCGTTTTGGGAACAGAAGCCCTGTATGGATGTTAAAACATTAACACTCCACCAACAGCATGCTGGTAACATATGAAGCTGCTGTAGCAGGTGTTAGACAAGGTGTGAACTTTACTGAGACTCAAATCTGAGCTGCTTCATCTGTGAAACCTCCAGACTCAGACCAGCTGATGGAAGTGAGCTACAATGCACTGAGTGGGAACCTGAGAATTGTCCCTGAAGACAACAGTGACCCTCTGAGTCAGGGTCCCAAAGAGACCAACACCTCCTGTTTCCTATTCTTTGATGGTGTTGGTCTCACTGAGGATGGACTGAAGGACTGGTTAAGACTGTGCGCCAAGCAGGTAGACACTGACACTCATGTATAGCCATGTTATCACACAACATCAGTCAGGTTTTTAAAAAATAACGTGTCGTTTCTTTCTTTGTTTTTTTTTACGTTTACAGAAGCAGGCAAAGAAAACTAAGAAGACCAAAAGTACCCTTTCACCACAAGAAATCAAGAGCATCCACGTGAGTCTCCACTTTCTAACATGCTCAGAACTATAGGGACTATAGGTATAATTGATGATAATTGTCATGCAATACATAATATTTCATAAAAGGCTCTAAACAAGCAGAAATACTCAAAGGCAGGAGTACTTTGACACATATGCTGCAGACTGTAGAAACTAAAGATGAAAGCACGCCCTCTTTTTTTTTGATCTACATACATGCCAGTGTGTTCACGTTTAGATATTTTTTACAGAATTTCATGTTTACCAGTTTTTTGTTTCCAGAACAAAATCATTGCTCATCTTTGGAGTTTGATTTGTTTGAAGTTTGAAGTTTCTAAATAAAATCAAAACATTTTACAAATTAGGATGCACTAACCACATCTATGAAATCAAAGGATTATACACACATCTGATAAACAATGAATGCACAAAAATCTCCCAAGGTTACCATTAACATTTGCTGATAGAGACAGTTTTCTAACTGATGTTAAATATGGGTGCCATTGTTCTTTTTTGTGGTCTGTTCTTTATTTATCAGGTTTTGCTAATTCTTAAATATTGGGCTAGATGAGGGACTTGTGGCTTTTATCAATAATCTTGACTGAACCTGATATCGTATGTTTCTGTTTAGATGACCAGACATTTGGAACCTCTTCCACCAGGCTACTTCTACAATGGTTATCAATATGTTGACATCTTTGGAGATAAAACAAACTTCCATCCCAGTATCCTTTTCACAAGGGTTACTGTAAAACTGTATGTCCCTGTCATTAAGGCTTGAGAACAAAAGTCTGAAATAGTCATGAGTCAGTTTGATTTGACTGACTGAGATTTTGACACAGAAGAACAGTGAAAAATACTGAGATGCATCTTTATATACTGCTGTGTGGAGTGCATGTGTTGCAGTTTTCCTTACATTGCTGCTACCCTAGACATGGAGGAATTCATTAAAGAGTATATCGCTGAGGCCAACAAGGAGATAGAGCAATTCAACTGTCAGCTGGAGTCGCAGGGACAGCCCGACCTCTTTGAGCCGTGATAGAATCTTCGTGTATGTTCACTCCATCTGTCGTATTTACCTTGTAAGGGAACCACTGTGGGGGGTGAGGGAGGGCAAAGGGGATATGTGCTGAACACTCCACTAGAGCAGTCAGTGTGTGGTCACACATCATGTATCTTCACAAGCCGCTTCTGCTGGAAGTCCTTTCTTATTTACTTTATCATTTTATTTCTTATTTGGAGCCTTCAATCATCAATGAAAAGGTGGTTATGTAATTGTATGGCTGTTTGCCATGCTGTAGACTACGCTAGCATTAGCACTTTGGTGAGTTGGGTTTCATTGTTATGGTAGCTAATTTAGATTAAGACATGTTTGTCAAGAGATGCAATTTGCTCACAGCTGTAGACAAATCAGAACAAGCACCACACAAATCTCCACCTTTAAACCAGTATGATTATACCACTGAGTCTGCAAGCTATGCGACTTTCACAATTGAAGGGAAGGGCCACACACTCCTTGTGCGTTTCTGTTTATCGCAGTTGGCAAATTAATGCCTCTATTTCTGGGCAGGCGTGGATAGCCGTGTGATTCTGGTGGGCTCCCTGGTGGGGTTTCTCAAGAATCGCTCCTCCTCTGTTGTCACCCAATCCATGGTCCACCTGTTAGCTTGTCTGCAAGCCACACAGCAGCAGAGGAAGACTTGATCATTGAGCTGTAAACATTGGACAGCCTGTTGGCAACAGACAACTGATGAATGATGCCATTAATCGCATAGCTATAGACCGTCCCAGTGCTTTATTTTAAGACATGTCAAGGGAATCTTACGAAAGTGCAATTAACCAGATTTCAATTCCAGCAGCAAAGTGTTGTAAAACAGCTGAGGCTGTCATGAAACATATTGAATTACTGGGGTTACCGAGGTCCTCCACAAACTTCATCATAGCCCTGTGTTCTATTTGTTGTAATGTTAGTTAGTTTACACCAGCACATGATAAACAAAAAGTTTAGATAGCTAGAAGTGGATCATTCATTGTGCCACTATTTGCTGAAAATTCACACATCCCCCTGATTCTTTTGAGTGGCAGCATTTGGGGAGGACAGGGAAAATGAAATAAAGTGGGGGAAAATACTGCTTTATTAAATATTGGCTAGATTAGGGTTAACATGAGTAAAGCGATTAGTAAAAGGTATAAGGCTTTGTATCAGTGGTGTGATGTTGCAGAGACTCAGACTTACAGTCTTGTTTAAATGAGTTATTCCACTGTTTGCTCTGCGATTGTGTGTCACACTAATGTTTTATGCACGTCTTCCTTTTATCAGGGTTCCTACACGGGTTTGGAAATTCTGTGACCTGTAAGAAAATGTGTTTAATAGGCAGTCATTTCTCTGGGAAAAGCTGCGACAGCTGCATATTTAAAGAGCCACTAATCTATAATATTTATACTGAACAAGTATTTCAGTATAACAGCGTCAAAAAGATATGAAATTTTGAGGTGCAGAATGTGTAGGAACCCTGCTTCAGTATCTGGAGATTCAGTGGCTTTCATTCATTATGGGGTTAGCAGTGTAGTATATTAGTGCAATCCAATACACTAATATGCTTTTAAGAAATACTGCTGCAGCTATAATTGCATGATATATTGCAGTGGCTGCTGTACCAAAAAAAATGTCTGTAATCAGTGAGAACTTTGAGATTTACGGATAAGTGAGGAAAAATGTTTCTGTTCAGTCTACGTTTCAAGTCTACAATCAAAATTTTCCTCAAATGGAGGGCACGCTTGCTAGTGAGGTGAACATTTGCTGTTATAATCTCCTTTAAAAACATATTTTTAGATCAGTGGAGACCTCAGTGTGTTATGGGTACCCTTCATAATTCATATTTTGGATAACTGTCTGACGGTGCTTTTTTCCTTTTCAGACAAAAACAGTGTGATTACATCATTAGCAAGTTTTGGGGTTTTTTCCCCAGGTGACCTCTCTGTCTGTGCAGATTTAAGTGATCCAGCACTGCTAGCCCCATCCATCCACTGACCTGAACAAGCCATATAGTCTTAGGTGTGCTAGGTGTGGAGCGATCATGCGTAGTTTTAAAATAGCACATAACCTAGCGGTGAAGTACATCTTCTAACATGTGTTGCTCTGACATGTTCCAGATAGCCAGAAAAAAGGGGGGCTCACAAGGAAGGGAGGAGCTCACCCCAAGTTAGTCATTCCATTAGCTCCTCTCCTGATGTTCTTCTCTTTTATTCTATGAAGAAGTGCAATTGTTCTTTGTCTTTTTATATATTCTACTTACAGTACCCTCAAAAAGCTCTTTAAGGACATAACTGAGGAAACAAATGAGCTGCTAAATTCTCAGTCTCTGATTTTCACTCACTTTCAAGTGCTCACAAAACAAGTCAAGGGTTTGGTGCAACATTAAATGCCGCTTGGAGGGGAGGCAGGGGGGTATTACCTCTGCTTACAAATGACGGATAACAAAATGCACACAGATTACAGTGCTGCTTTTAATGGAGTGGGATAATATATAACTTAAATCCTCTGGTGACAAAATGATAACTATCGTTTAAGCTGGATGTTCTTTTTAGCGTTTCAGAGATGCACTCTAAGCCGTCTGTTTGCAACAACAGTTGCCGTCATTCTGTAGTTATGTAATACTGCAGAGAGTTGCCTTGACTGACAGTGAAATAGTTGTTGGGAATATGTATGGGAGACCATTTTGAAAGCTGCTTTATGTCCAAGAGCAGAGATGTTGTAACCTTAATTGGCCAAGAGATCATAAAGTGGTCCTTAAAGAGGTGAGGGTTATGTAAGATGTTTGTGACTTTTAAATGAAAGCACTACTAACAGTGTACGCTATAATTACTGCTACAAATGTGTCTACACTATTTTGCATGTTTGAGATGTCACGTGAATATACCACGACATATATTCTGACACAATTGCCTTTCACCAAACTGGTACAGCAAAGAGAAATAATAAATAATCGCATTTATTTTACATATCTGCTGAGAATTTGAATGACCTCTAAGCAACAAATAGTATTTTTGTAAGACCGTGAATTGAGCATTCAAGGTGCAAAACAAAACATTTCCTTTCGCACAAGCTTCAAAAAGCAAAAGCAGATGCAAATTTTTTGTAGAAAAAACAAACTAACTTGAGAATCTGATAAGTTGTGAGACATCAGGTTTCTCAGATCCAGCAGTGCCTTGGCTACAGCTAAGAAAAGCAGAGATTAAAGCTGCATTCAGAACTCCATCCCTCTCCCTTTCACCAGGGGAGGAGGTGTTGTCAGGCGAGGATCTGTCCTTCAGCAGTGTTGGTGAAAGGAATCCATGGAGTCGTTCTTTAAAGCAATGTGTTTTTACTAAGCCAGAGGGTAAAGTAGTCAAGGTCACACACAGGGAGGCCGCTGGCTGGCTCAGGATAATTCAGGTATTCTCACTAACAAACCAAAAATATGGTGTAAAAGGGGCAGGGCACCACAGCAACTCTGATTTATGTTCACACTTACATTTGTTTTGTGTCTTTCGTTCAAGTTCATTTGGTCTTTTAAATGAAACGTACATTTTTGTCTCAGTTCTTTTAAGATCTAGAAAATTTCATTCATATGTTTTTAGGATACGTGCCTAGCACAAGCTGGGATACAAACATGTAAAGCTTTGCATCAGAGTATGCCCCACCCCTATGAAATAAGCAAAAAGGAGGATTTAGTTTGTGACTAAAGTTGGGTGGTCCCTTCTTTCTTGCACATGGGACCCCCAGAGAGCCCTCCACAAGCCTCTCAGTGTGACTGCTACGTAGCTCTCTGGCAGACTGAGCACTCTGGTGTCTTCATCCTGTATGTGGAGACTAGCTATTTTGTAGCTGAAGTTATAGGACAAAAAAACAAAGTTTGGTGTTAATTGGTTATTTGGGAAGGATGGAAATGTGACGTTCTCATACTGCAGTGTGATAATGCAGTGTTAAAGGTTTTTCTGTTCTTTTCTAGTTTGGCTCCAGTGTTCAAAAAAGGGGCCACCCTCTAAAAGTGGAAGTGGATCTTTTTATGGTGTTTTTGCGCTTATTAGAAAAAATGCAGCTCGCAAATGGATTTTTGACTGACCAAATATTTCTCAGGCCTCGGGGACCGTTGATACTAATTGTTTGAGGCGTTCTGTTCCGAGAAGGTTAAATTTGAGCACATGCTCTTCACTCCTCAGTCCTTACAGACGGCGAGGAGTTCTTTCAGGTGTAGTTATTATTATTTCTGTGCCCGAGGTTACATATTTGCCCTTACAAACTCAAGTCTTAAAGAAAAAGATGGAGGTGAAGTTGTGGTTAATGTCTTGGGTCTGTAGCTACATAGCAACAGGCTGCACGGCCGCATACAAAACGAGGATGTTGTAATTTATGTTAAGGAACAGTTGCGATTCAAGTTGGCAAACATTTGATTTCATGATGGCAGAATTAGATCTCAGCAAAGGGCTCAATCTTTTTCTTCCCTATACAGGCCGTCCAAAGCGAAAGGGGGAAAAAATAACTTTGTATTATGATGGGAAGCAAAAAACAACTTCAAAAGTGCCAAACTGACTTCCACATCTTGTTTTAAGAGTGTTCACGGAAAGTGAGCAAAAACAAATTGCATTTGCACAAAACTACTGTAACTTCTGTTTTTCTTCCTGTGACTGATGCTTTTATAAACTAATTGTTGTATTTATTGCACCACGTAATACATTAAATATTTATAAGTTTAATGAGTTTGTTGTCTTTATCATTTCATTCAACATGTAGGAATTTAACCTTCTAGGACCTGGCGTCCACATATGTGGACATCACATTTTGGGTTGTTTAGACCACAATACTAAATTTTGCTCTACAAGGGCCTGATATCCTCTTCTCCGAAACTACATCAGGTAAAAAGATAATTCTTTGTTTTTACATTCATCAGGTCCCAAATAGCAAAAAAAATAAAAATGCATGCCATGAAAGAGCTCAGGTCTTAGGAGGTTGAAGGTCTGAGTTACGTCGCACTCTTATGTGTGATGGACTTGAGAAATGACGGCTGGAATAGCACAGAGAGAACAAGAGGAATCCTGCCCCACAGATCCCTTTATTTCCTCATGCTGTGTGAAGATAGTCTGTGTGTCCTTGTATTGTTGCCAGGCAGATACATTCGTCCACATGGCTAACCTCTGACATCAGTGTTTCCTCGCCTCTCCTGCCACCACTGTGCCGCCGGTTTCTCCCCAGCGACTCAAGGCAAGACTACCCGCCCAGATACACTTAGCACATTCAAAACACGCTCTAGCCATATCTCTTCCACCATTAGTTGCTCTTTTTTTCCTCCCCACCCATTCTATTGTTGTATTTTTACCGAGGCACTGAACTGAGGCTATTTGTGGCCTATTATGAGGGCCACATGTAAACACTCATCGCTCTTGCTGGTGTCTGCCAAAGCCTGCTGAGTGGGTCCAGGTCTCTACAACAATGGACCACTGTGCTAGATGTTTTCAATTTTACAAAGTGAAATACTATGGAATTTATTTTTGTTTGTACTTTAAGGCCAGTAAAGTAATAGCTGTCTTAATTTAGAACTCCTGTGAAGCAAATCTTCACAATAAATCTTGAGAACTTGTGACAGGTATTCCAGAAGCTACCAGATAAATCAGTGTAAGTAAGACAATTGTAAAACGACCATTGACAGGCCTTTATTGCATAATTAACATAATTTGGAGACTTAAATTGCAACGTTGCGTGACTGTGACTGCAGAAAACAAAAGACATACCATCATCACTGTATATATTTATTGCACAGTTTTTGACAACCGTCATTTCATAATGCAGTTTTGTTTCTCATAACAACAATAATAATACACACAGCTCTCTTGATCAGTTTAATATCACGGCTGAGCACCACAGCTGAGCACCATTGTCAAGCTTGAAGGTTTGCTGGTGATGAATACTACCTGCATCAAATAATAGCTTTCAAATAAAAATGTCATGTTGGTTTGCGATTGTATTTATAATACTACGCTGCTGCAATGCTTATACAGTTGCAAGAACATAATTTAAGATCAATTCTTATAGAGTTACAGGAAAGAGAAAGAAAAGCTTGCAAACCTTTTGAACTGTTTTTTTTTCTGCATAAATATAGCCAAAAACATTTTTAGACTTAGAAATCTGAAAACTAGATGGCGAAAACCCACTTTTAGCTCATTCGACTGCAATATTTGGTAAGTTTCCCTGCTTGGGTCGCTCTTTTTTTTTTAAATTATTTCTGTTAAAGTTAAAAAATTTTGATTGAAAATATGTTTTTGTTCTTCTTCTACTGTTAGATACTTTTGATATTGTCTTGCTGAATAGCTAATTATGTTGTTGGGTTGTTGTTGTCTTTTTAAAAATCAACAATCAAGAGTTCATTGTAGCTTTAATCAAGAACTGTCCTGATCCAGATGCAGCAAGGAGTCCCATGACACTACCACCACCATGTTTCACAGATGGAAAAGGTTCTGTCCAAACACAATGCTTCTCATTTAAAATATTTAAATGACTAAACTGCTTATCCAACTTAGTGCAAAGGGCACCAAGGCCTGTACAGCACCATTGTGCTTTTTGGAGAACAGTAGCTTTCTACTTGCTCATCTTGCACACCATTTTTTCAATGTGTTCTTGGTGAAATGATTGAGATGAGCTACATGACCATTAGCCATTGTGAGAGAGTCGTTCTGTCGCTAAGGAGCTACCCAGGGTCCCACTGGGGCCTCACAAGCTATCACAGCTTTCATTCTTGGAGTGCAGGTAAACCTCTCCTCTAAAGGGTTGTTGAACATTGTTGTTGAATCTGCCTTTGGCATACTCTGAATTATAATTTGTGGTTTGAGTCACTTCCCTAAATATGTTTAGTGAAAGTCAGTTATTAACAGATCAGTGTCTCCAGTTACTCTTGATTTTACCATTACATTTACTGCTAATCCTAGAGGGTTACATACTTCTGCCGCTCACAGATATGCACTATTTGACCATTTCTCCCAATAACCAAATGACCAAGTCTAATTTTTATTCCATGCTATTTATTTAATTTTGTTCTTTTTTGTCTACTTTCAAGACTTGTGCATGCACTTAAATAAATATCTTCAGAAATGTAGAAAATCTCCAGTGTTGTACCTGTTACTGTATGCTTCATTTTGACAAGCTTTAACATACCGCCATCTGCACTTTGTTAATACAGATAAACATAGAAGATCTGAGCTCACAGTTTGAATTATTTGCAAGTATTCTGAGTGCGATTTGCTTCGGTAGCCCCCACACCCCCCCATTTTGATTTCACACTTCTTTGTCCTGCTGCTTGATGTCAAAGGTCATCAAAACAGCCATGTCACTGGAGTCCCCCAAGGAGACAGCCAGTTTTAGTACCTGAAGAGCATTTCCACTGAAAACGTCACCCTCCCAGATTCTGCTTTTATTAAGTTTCAGGTCAGTCCGTGTCTCTCCCACCACGCTTACCCTCTGGATCCCTGGAACCCGTACCCTGAAGCGAACCCATGAGGCGGGCTCCAGTAGGCCCACACGAGGCTCAAAGAGAACGCAGCCTTTGCTCCAGGCAGAATAGACACAAGGGAAAGGGATCCCCGGCTGATCGCAGATGTTCCTTAGGATAAAGTCACACATGGGGTTAAAATCTCCACCAGGGGTTATCCTAGCGTAGAGGCCCAGCCGATATACCCCAGTATCAGGCAGGCTGATGCTCACTGTCACTTTTGTGTCTGTGTATGTGCAGAACAAGTAGCGGGAAAGTGGAAAAGCTGCTGATTTGTTCTCTTCTTTGCTGAGCACAGTGTGAAGCTCAAGGTCGCGATGGTTGTGGAAGGTGATGTTGCATTTGCCTTGCTGGGTAACCACCACTGCTGTTGTATGACTAAATTTGGAAAGTCCCGCCTCTGACGTCCGGGTCCCTGGGCCACATGCTGAGCCCAGGTTAGGAGGGAAGAGCTCATGAGGACTAACCACCTTCCCTCTGCAGTGCAACAGGAAGTTTGCAGTGTTCTGGAACTTGACTTCCGTTTTCTCATAATCCCGCACAAACACCGACAGCCGGTAGAAGCCATGTAAAGGGCAGAGGACGTGGCACGTCAGGGTGTCTGGTTTAATCTGAGTAGCCAGGCAGCGTTTGGCTATGGCAGCATCCATCTCTGGGTGAACCAGTTCGCACAGCATCATCAGAGGCCTGGAGGTCTTCAGCACCAAATCAAAGACACCTTCGTCCACCTCAGCAACCTCGCTGCTCTGGCTGCTGCTTGTGACTCCAAGAGATCCTGCAACTGGCTGCAGCCCCCAAGACAAGAAGGGGTTCTCTGGGATCTCTTCCATCGCTCTGGGGGTAGGACACTCGACTGTGAAGGAGCAAACCCAAACCAGAGGCGTGGCAGCTGCCTCGGGTCTAGCAAACACCTTCACATCGTACATTCCACTTGCGGGTGGCAGGAGTTGCAACTTCATGCTCCGATGGGAGACAGTTAGGATACCGAATGAAGAGTTGATAGACTCTTTCTGCTCTGAAGCACCACAGTGGAGGAGGTCTTGGTGCTGGGTGATCTCATAGGTAAAGGTTGTTGGCTTTGAGAAGCCAAGGGACACACTTGCCTCACCATTATCTGAGCAGAAAATACAAGAGAGCGTTTGTTTTTGTTTTTTTAACGTACTTGAAGATAGATGTTAAAAATAAATATGAGTGCATTCTTGATTAAAACATAATGACATTCAACAATAAGACTAAACCAAAAAAAAGAAAGCTGACCAGAAGAACAAAACAAAAAAGTTGTCAGGTAACCTGTGACAATGTGACAGTGATGTGGCCGAATCAGCCTAAGCCCCATACTGAAGAAGGCTGAGGTCTTGAAGACCCTTCTCTCAAACTCTTCCAGGGAGATGGGTATGCCTAGGAGCTGCCATTTCTCCTCATCAGGGAAGTGCGAATCGATGAACTCCTCCGGGTCCGTTAGGAAATAGAAATCATCAAACCTTGAAGGAACAGATAGAGACAGTGTGCTGGTTTTAGACTCAACCTGCTGCCTGTCATGGGATTATTCGAATAAGCAGCTGTTAAACTTCAGTCATTATTGTCGTACCACCGTGTCATTGTAGTATTGTTTGCAGCAACCTAACCGCTAAATAGTGAATGTGTTGAAATCATTTCCTTTTCACACCTTTTCACAAAGCTTTCATGTTCCATATCTACTCGTCCCGCTCCCCAGCAGGCATCCAATAGGAACCACTGTCCTCCCAGAAGCACAGCGTTCCACAGGTGATCAGATTTCACATGCTTCAGGCTTTGGCCCTGGCGGTATCCTATGCCCTTACTGTGGCCCGGCACTTCTTGGCACTCGATGCCCACCTCTCTGTAAACACAAACCAAACAACATGCTCATGGCTTTTTGTTTTTATATCGCATGTCCTCAAACTCGAGTTCATAAACTCAGAAGGCCTTTAATGCAGCAGTTAATAAACTGGCGATCACAAATCAACAACCGCTGTTTTCGGAGGTGTTGTGTTTACCTGCACATCTCCGTACAAAGGTTGGAGTAGCTGCAGCAAACACCGCGGCCAGCCGCAATCACCTCCTCTGGTGAACTCAGCTTCTCCGAGTGGCCAAGGTACCCGCTCACATCATACTCTGTGAAAGCAACCTTCCTTTTATTCACAGTAGGATGGATGACACCTATATGAGTGAATGCTGCTGAACGTAGATGGATTCGCC